TAACGATCACGCAATAGCGTGTTCATCCATTGCCTTTTTAAGTCAATATTCCGTTTATCGTCTTCTTCTGTTATCGACTATTTCAGTACAATGTTATAAACAAGTTATAGTCAATTTAACGCTGAAAGGACACATATTTATTCCATTGTCAAAATACATAAACAGAAACACGACGGGATTTTTATAATGTAAAGTATTATAATACCTCTCCAAAAAATGAAATAATTTTACACTTTTCTTTTCATTCATACCGTAAAGTAAACCTCTTAAAATGATATGTGTTTTTCTGTACTTTTTCTCGTGATCGTCAGAAGTGACTTGCCTTTCGATTTATCTGTTTTGATTTGCTATCGCTTTATTTTCGGTGTTTCATCTTCTAATTTCACGGCAGCGTTAGCGATTTAATTCGCCAATCTATCAGGTAAGTCTGCGTGAAAACGAAATCTTCAACAATTAATCTGGGAAGGAAATTAATAGCGCGGCTTCGTGAAGCTTCGTTTGCCACGTCAACTGAGATACTAATACTAATAGCATTGTTGAGAGCATTCAAGAAGCAGTCAATGAGACAGGTATGATGCTACGTACTAAATGGATTCATTGTACGACAGGCCTGTTAATAGGAACTCACGACAAATATTGAATAAGCGGCACAGATTGTCACGGCAGCGACTTGCTCGTAATTTATTTGAATAAAACATCAACGCGTACACTAATTAGGTTAAATTAAAATTGGAGACGCACATAGGTTATTGGGCAAATAATGGTGATTATGATGATGATAATAATGATGATGAAAATGATGGTTATGATGATGATAATGATAATTAATAATATTTTATATTTTCTTTTACGAGTAAATATTTGTAATATTTAATAAATATAATTATAATTAGTAATAGGGCCTAATAATAATAATAATAATAATAATATCAATAATGATAGGCCTATGAGTAATTTTAAAATATGAATAATAATCACAATAACAATAATATGATGTTCTTTTTCAATATATAGCAGGCGTGCATCTTTAACTAACAAGTACGGTAATTAAACTATACACCAATATAATAATAATGATGATGATAATGAAGATGAGGATGAAGGAAGGAGGAAGATGAAAA